ACATTGCAGACAAATTGGCTATGTAGCACGGAAGGATGTGGAGCTGTGTTGGAGGATGTTACTTGTTACAGTCCTGGGTCAGTCCACTCCTTTCCTACTTGCTATATCGAGGAGGAAAAAGCATCAGAATTTTATAGAAACCTTTTAGTTTGTTTTCTCCATTGGCCTTTAGCAGCACCAGATTGACATTATAAGGTACCGAACGTACCTGGTTTCAGTTGTCAAACTCTTCATCTGAAGGTCAAAGAAAGAAACCAATCGTTATCCATTTCTATTAGTGAAAACATGTTTCTGTTTTTTTTGTTCCTAAAGGAGCCTTTTAGTATTGTTATATATAGTCAAACTTACGATGATATGGTGTGCATCATTTCAGTTACCCCATTATATTATACCAATAGATTCCACAGTACCACTTTTAACGGTTTTTGATGAAACATTATAATGCCAATGTATGCAGTCTTAGACAATCTACTTCCCCTAGTTTCATCTGCCACCTTTTGTACCGCCATTAAAGGTCAAGGACCTCTTTCTTGTGATTTCCTGTTCCTGTCTTGGTTGGTTAGTTGCAGGTTTTCGGTCTCATTGACTCGTCCAATCTCTAGGCGTTGTTTCACCAATAAATATCAGTGTTCTGATGATGTACCTGTCCCTTATACAGTGCTTAAATATTGCAAGACAAACAATGACAGTGACAAATGACAAATGTTTGCAGTTTTACAAACTTTAACTGATGAATGGGACAGTATTAAGGTATCTTTTAACAATTTTGACAAGTGTATCAAAGTACCTTTGACAAATATTAGCAGTATTACAAAGTGTTTTACTGACAAATGGTGGCAATCAATCAATGTGCAACATCGGCAGTATAACAAGGTCTTACTGACAAATGATAGCAGTGAAATAGAAAATTCATAATATGTATTATTTGCAAAAGCTATTGATCGAGTTGAGGTACTGCCATTTTGAGGGTTTTAGTTGAAACTGTATCAATTAACACTATAATATAAAACATATGTTGAATTATAAGGAAACCAATAGGCTGGTAATCAATCTCTAACTAAGTGATCCATGTGTTCCTCTGCATTTTCAAGTTCACTATCCTTTAAGATTTGTCCTATCAGAATCTGATGTTTAAACTCTCTTCTGTTTCAAAGAATAATTAGCCCATTTAATTAAATCTAGTTCGGTTCCATATCAAAAGCAGTAACTGATTTGACACAACTTCAAATTTTAAAAATTTTTGGCTCATATAATTAGGGGTTGTGTAATGTAATTTAAATGTACTTGCTGCAATAGGTTATAATATTTTTGGTTTCTGATTAAGATGTTTCATAATTTTCTTTTCTTCTTTTTGCTTGATTATTAGTCGAACTTACTCTAGCTTTCTGAAAATGAATGTATCACAGATAATATGCTTATACCCATATATATTACTGTTCAGTGAAAAGACAAACCTGTGCTTTTTTCAGTGTCTTGCAATAAATCTGCACTCTGATATTGATTGAGAAGTCTTGTGTTGATGTCCTGGACTTATTGTTGTATAAATACAACAGTAACATCTTGTAAAATTCATGAACTTGTATAAATGTATTCATCTAGCTTAAGAATTAAATTCATTGCCTCAATATGTAATTATGTTGACAGTTATGGTCAGGTTGTCACGTGCAGTGACTTACAGGGTTTAAAGTAACAGGATCTACTTTAAAGGAACAAATTTTGATTGAATAAATTGAAGGTTGTAAATGACAGCAGAACTGAAAACGAACTTGAAGCATAATTGTATGAAGTAGCTTGTTTTGTGACTAAGGTTGGCATTTCAATACTTACACTATATATATCAATCGATAAGCCTATGCTTGGAAATAATGCCATCGACATCTGACGCTGTTTTATGGGATCACCAACAAATGTCATTTTATATTCTGCCATAAGGCTATCATTTTAAGCTAGGAATAATGTTTAGACCCATCCCCCACCCCCTCTGAGTTTATCGTAAGCAGGTCGAATATGCTATTACCACTGTTGGCCATTGCAGACCATTTGGAGACCTGGGAGTGGTACAGTTATGTCTGCTTTAATAGATCTGTTTTCAGGACCTACTTTTGCATGGACTGATCTTACGGATAATGTCTGTGAGTTGGCAGTTTTCTGGAAAGTGTCAAAGGTGTTTGTGTATCAGAAGATAAGGAGTTAGAGCAGACATACTGTGACATCCCTTGTGCTCCACTTCACCTTCACAGTCAAAAAGACAAGAAAACTGTCTCAGAAACATTTTGATTTCATGTCTGCTTGTTTTGCAACACACATGTAAATATGGTCGTTCTGGCAATTTGCTGATGTCTTGTCTAGATCAGATAGGGGTAATGGAAAAATTCACCCTGTCAGAGACCAAGAAAATATATGTGGAATATTGATTATTAAAATCTAACTCTTCCCATTTCCCCCCATCTAGAAGTGATAATGCTTCTAGAAGGGTCACCTTGTCTGTAACAAGAAAACAATTTGAGAAAAAAACAAAAGAATTGTCCAGTGACAACCATGCATGGTTTGCTTTATTTCATAACATTCTTATTTTTTCTGTCTCCTGGTCTGCTAATACTTCTGTGATGAAGTTCAGAAGGTTACTGTTATTTAATTGACAAATCTCCCTACAGTTAGTGATACTTCACTTGTTGCCACATTCTTGAGCTTAAGTTGTATTTTAAGAGTTATGTCCCTTATACGAACTCCTTAGCCAAGTTTTCTTACACATTTAATCTTGAAACTTGTTCCCTCATCCTAATCATATTGTAAGTAATTGTATATCTTCTAAAATTGTTGATTTATTTAGTGAATATTGTTTAAGGTAAGCTGGGTATTTTGTAAAGAAAAATACACTGCCGCCGCTGGTGTTCAAACTAGCGACCCTTTAGTCTCTAACCAGACATTCTACTTCTTGACTAAAGGAAATTTCCACTAGCCAAGGCCAGTAAGGTAACCTGTACTCTCAACCCCTACACTATTCCTCCTCACAAAGTCTTTGACCCTGAAGACATCAACGACCCAGTTTTGATATTTCCAAGGAAGCATATCAGTCAGCTTCTACCCTTGGAGTGGTCAATGGCACCAAACCTGTAATAGGAAGAAGTAGTGAGAGACACAATGCTACTGTTGAGGTTTGAACTAGTAACCCTTCAGCCTCTAGTCAGCCATTTTAACACCTGATTTGAGGGAAATCCCACTAGCTGATGCTAGCAAGGCAACCTGTTCTCTCAACTTTCACAATTAAACTGGAGTGACGTCCCTTTCAGGATTCTTTTTTCTTTGTTATTTATATTATGAATTGTGTCCAGAATTCAAATGCTCATAAATCCTTCTATATATGTGAAATTTGCTCCATCAAGTTATCATGTCATACAACTATATTGAAATTGACTTTGCTTTTGGCAGTCTTGATGGAGAACATGAGGTATTAGTTGCCTGTGACTAACAGTTCCAGCTGAGTTATACATTGTGGTGCTTTTAAAGAGTGGGATTTGATGTACAAAATTGATTTTTTGAGATAAAATGATATTAAGTACATAACAAAATAGATAGGAAATAACATTTCAGGAGTCAAAGAATACTGTAGGCTATAATGTGACCTGCTTTGTTTTTTTGGGAAGCAAGCTTATAGTATTTCTAGTTTACCACATTCTATCACTTTGCTGTTGATCAAAGATAGATTTCGTGTCAAAAATATATATTCAGTTTTTATTGCTATGTTTTTATCTGATGACTTGGAAAAAAGCACTTTTATTGGGAAAACGAGCAAGGTTTGGCACAATCGATATTGAAAAATGTTCTAAATTTGCTTTATGGGTCATGAAAAGGATATATTGAGTGAGAAAGAGAGAGAGTGGTGAGAGAGAGAGAGAGAGAGATGAGAGAGAGGTGTGAGAGAGAGGTGAGAGAGAGAGAGAGAGATGAGAGAGAGGTGAGAGAGAGAGAGAGAGGTGAGAGAGAGAGAGATGAGAGAGAGAGAAAGAGAGGTGAAAGAGAAATAGAGACAGATACAAATAGATATAGATGTAAAGATGAGGATATATAGCCAGACATGATGCTGTAGGGTCCATAAATGTCGGTGGATTTGCTGGGAGATATTACATTGCTTGTTTGACTGTAGAAATTGATTGTCATCATTTGGGTATATAATCGAGGAGTTGAAGAGAAAGTGATGGATTGGAAGTGTTTTTTGTGAGAGAGACAAATAACAAGATCTTCTTTTAAATCTAATGACTTTGCTAATGATGAAAAATTGCTAATGTCAGGGAATTTCATTTGTGTAAAACTTACTCTCAGCTCCTTTATGATGGTGCCCATGAATTCCAATTATTTGAACCATAAAAATGGATGAGAATGCACATTCTAATCACATTATTTAAGAATGTGGAATTTTCCTTTTTTTTCTACCTGCAAAATCAATTTCTTTGTAATAATGAGACATTTGCATGTTGGAAATTTTTCACAGACATATTTTTGGAAACGATTTTGTGAAATTGATATATAAGGACTTGGTCTATCTTTTTCTGTAATTATTTGTCCATAACACAGTTTTATATACAATATTGCAGACTGCAGTATTTATAGATTGATACACTTTTATATGTATTTGTACAAGAAACCAGCCATGTAAAGAGACCACCTGTGGTGAGAAACCACTTTTAGAAATCCATATTTTGGTCTGATTAATGTTAACTTCACCTGTAGCGTAAGGCCATCTACTCTTTGTATGTTTTCTGAATGTAGATTTTACAATGTATATAGGTACTGAACTCTGTTAATACAATTTTTGAAGTTTAAATTAATTTTTGGGGAACTAAAAATGATTACCTCATTTATCTCCTAATACGGTCAAGGGGACCAACATATTGACAAAATAAAGTAAGGTGTTAATTTTACAAAAAATGCAATAGCCTTGGGTGGGCTTATAAACAGTCATGAATGTATTGCTGACCTATTTGTTAATTCTGTCTTTGTAGATGGGAATGGGTGGAGATTATCGAACCAAAGACGAAGGAGCATATGTATGCAAACCTGACCACAGGCGAGTGTGTATGGGATCCTCCACCAGATGTCAAAATGTAAGTATTTCATCACATTCTCACCTGTCTTTTTAATGTCGTATCAGTAATGATATAACTGAATCACAGACGACCGAACTGGAGATCCAACTTTGAAAATATTGGAGTCTTCTGAAAAGTCCCAAGTTAATTCTACCAGTACATTGGTTTAAATAGCTGACCAAAATTTTATTGTCTTATTTTCAGTTACATCATCTTTATGTTTTCCCGTCATTAAAAAAGTACACCATCTTTATTAAGTCTGCGTTCCCATAATTCAAACAATACACTTCTTTTTAGTCTGTGTTCCCATAATTGAATACTTGATTTAAATAATCTATAAATCATACAGTTTACTGTTTAGTTTAAAAATCCAGGCATTTGAGCTAAGAGTATGACCTTGATGGTGGTGACCTTGGCTGATGACCTAGTTATTTTGATACTCTAATTGATTTCTTTCCGATGGTTTCTGACCTAAGATAGCACTTCCTGGCTTGTGGTTCTACTTTAATCAAAGCCCTTGTTCTCAGTGAACCATTGTTTACACATATAGTACTGATCCTCAGCAACTTGTTGCCAATTTTCTGGAGTACTGACCTGCAAATAGCCTGAGAAAAATTCACCTGAAACAGGTTTCTGTTGCAATGAAGATAACTGTTTTTCCTCATCAAAGAAGGAAAATAACTGAAATTAACAGCGTGCACCCTGTTCTGTAAGAGCGATTAAAATATAGCTTGTTTTCATCGGAAGCATTGCGTTGGAGATTTTTTTTTATTCGTACTTATCGTGTGATTAAATTGTTACTTTAGAGTGTCTGTTGTTTGGGTTGTGCAGTATTGATTCTAGATTACGCGAGAAAGTGATCTCACTTTGTCTATCTCTTGCAACTAGTGTCGGTGCAGGAAGTGAGGTTTTGTCTTGCATTCAAAGAAGGTGACAAATTTCCTGAAATCCCAACTCTCTTCGGGTTTTGTCTCTGACAGTTAGAGTGTGTGAAGCTTTCTAAGGCCCCCTTTAATATCTTAGCTTTGATAGATCACAAGTATTTGGACACGGGAAGGTAGATTGAATGCGACACTTTTGGGAAAAAATTATTGCGGTTTCACAGTGAATCATACAGAGAAAACAAAAATAAGTCACTTTTTTGCACACGTTTCAAAAGAGTGTTCAAATGTTTTGACACCTTGTACAAAAATATTTATATGAAGCTTGTAAACAGTTCATTAAAAGTGTTGGAGGAAACATAGAAAATTTAAATCTTGACAGATCACCAGAATGCAAATAAAGCAACTTTTTTCTTGCGGAATTTTCTAAATTTTTTGTATTCATTCTGACAATTTGAGAGACAATGCATGTAGTCTGTTATGACAAGATGAAAATTCAACGAAAACCAAGTTTTAAGTTTTGAAAATGTTTGGTTAAATTACATAACTATGATGTCAGTGGTGACATGGTTTATGTAGTTTCAGCATTTCTGACTCAGAGTATTAATATCGTTAAACTCGGTGTATAAGACATGCCATGACACATTTCACGCTCCCAACGGAACAATTTGACGGCAATTACATGAAAGGAAAAGCGAACATATACGGGATGCATTGATTTACATGTATATTGGTTGTTTGGCATAAAAAAAGCTTTTATCCGAGAAGACATGGAGAAGCTCTTGAACAAATTTACTTTTGTGTACATGTCAGTTTAAACACAGATTGTGATGATTTCATGAACAGATTTGTACTAAGCTTTCAGATGAATTGTTATACATATGTTCGTTGTGACATATTTTTTTTTATGTTTAAGTGGTGATTAAGAAAAGTATGGCTCAGGGAATGTTCCCTATATTTTTTTACGTATTTACATGTCAAATCTCCCTGACTCAGTGTGATCCGAGATTTTTTGTCGGTAAAGTGGTGATTCAGTGATGTAAACAATTGATTTTCGAGGCATAATGGTGAACCATATATCTTATAGTTTTGGCTCAATGCCTTCTTATCGAAACAGTTATGTAGCGTGAGTGTATTCAGTAGCATTTTTATGGTAGAGGCCTAGAGCTTATAAGCAATTACATACTAATTAATGTTACCTCAACTAAGTATCTCTGGTGATAAAACAGACCATATCATACTGACATTTATTCTTGTCTTATGATCGGAAATGGACATTTGTTTTGTTATTAATCCTTCATTTCCTGTTCATGTGTGTGATCGTATGATCAGACAGAGCATGGTCAGGCTTTCAGTAGTGGTCACTCTTTGGTCATTTTGTTATAAGTGTGGTAGCACAATAAAGTATATGCCTTACCAGTAGGTACTCCCTGTCTTACATGAATTTGTTTAAATTTCCATTTTATTGCTGTTTTATTTGCAGTTAATTAATCAAACATAGTTTAACCATTTAGTTAATTGGATTATATAAAAATCTTTGGGTGAAATGATAATGCTTTTAAAATTGATTATTTTCAGATGGAAAAGAATTGTCTTTTTTTTTTCAGCGATTATCGTGACCAGAATGATTTGATTATTGAAACTTGTGATCTTATGTGATTTCTATGACAGAGTTTATAGTTCTTGGCTATTAGAATCAGATTAAGGAGAAAATGTTAGCTTGCAGGTCTATATACTTAGTCAATAAAATCTTTCAAAGTTATGGTAGACATTTAAAGACCATCAGTACAATATCTTTGAATTTTTATACGGCTGTTTGTAATTTTTCATGCTTGGCATTTAAGTGATAGGGTACTAAAACCATATCAGTTTTACTGGGCATCACATGACATTAACAACACTGGGGTGACTCGAAGTACCTTTTGAATCTTATTTGACATTAGAAAGTGAAAACCTGGTTATCTGTTTGATAATCAAGACACATTTCGTTGTAAAGAATGTCCCCTACTCTGATATTGTAGCTATGTAAGATAGCTCCTCTTGAGGAAATGGTTGAGATACCAATGTGTATGTAGGTATATGTAAGTTTTTGTGAGTAGGTCAGTCACATTAAATCCAGCATTACAAGCCTTGTTATGTTTTATCTCATTTCAACCAAATTAGAAATTTGTTTATGCAAGATGTCTTTAGATATGAATATTTTTCATCCTAGTCACTAAGTCACTTGAAATCCTTTTACACTCACTCATCAACTAAAATGTATTGTTTTAGTGAATTTTGTACACACAACCAAAATGATGATATTTGATAAAGCTGAAGAGTCTTTAGAGTGACAGGGGTCATATCCCCACACCCATGCAGAAGTACATGATAAGAACATACAAACAATAAACATTGAGGTTTCCTAGTACAGTATGTTATATACTTAGGCAAGTGTTCTTATCACCAAACCTTCCCAAATAAACACACTAGTCATCAGAAAACTAGAGAGGACAGGTATTCTATCATTATACCATTTTGATCATTGAGGGGGTGGATTATGGGATGGTTTGGAAGTGGTGGTTTAAATCTTGGAAAATGCAATTTTATCAGAAATGTTTCGCTTGGAACTGTGGTTAAGATTTGTCTTTTCCTTCTTTTTTTTTTTGGTTGGAGAAGGTGGGTAAGATTGTGTAATAAAGTGTAGGAGGATTGGGGATTGCCTTTGTTGTTTAAATATGTCCTAAAAATTTCTCTTTCCTCATACCACAACTTAAATTTGTCTGCTGATGCAATGGCACAATCTAAAATAAACAAGTAGGTGTGATATGAAAAAGTTTCAGAAAGGAAGAACCTAGAGGCCAGGGAATGGACTCATTTACATCTATTGTATAAACATCCAGATAAATGGCTAGCTATGGGGTAAGGCAGTCATTATTATCTGATTTCTGCCGACTCATCATTCTAAGCTGGAAATGAATTTCATGTACACTCTCCTTCGTCTTTCAGAAATAACGTTTCAATCTCATGCATACCATAGTTACGTTGTTTGGCAGAACAACTTCGTCATGTGATCAGAAATATTTGTCAGGCTTGTTGATGATTTGGCTCTCCTTTCCTACGGTGTCAAGTACATTTTCGTGTCCAATAGGCATTACATTAGAATTTACTGGTATTAGCTAGTGTGGACTTGGGAACAATATTTTTGGTGTTTAGAAAAGTGAATATTTAAATCTAATTAATAGGCTCTTGTTTGGTGGAATATGAATTGTATTGATTCTTTAAAAATAAATTCATTGGTGTTGGTGGTGTTAGGGATGAAGGAGGGTTGAAGGGTGAGAGGGAAAAAGGAGGGGTGAAGGGTGAGAGGGGAAAGGGAGGGGTGAAGGGTGAGAGGGAAAAAGGAGGGGTGAAGGGTGAGAGGGGAAAAGGAGGGGTGAAGGGTGAGAGGGAAAAAGGAGGGGTGAAGGTTGAGAGGGAAATAGGAGGGGTGAAGGGTGAGAGGAACAAAGGAGGGGTGAAAGGTGAGAGGGAAAAAGGAGGGGTGAAGGCTGAGAGGGAAAAAGGAGGGGTGAAGGGTGAGTGGGGAAAAGGAGGGGTGAAGGGTGAGAGGGAAAAAGGAGAGGTGAAGGGTGAGAGGGAAAAAGGAGGGGTGAAGGGTGAGAGGAACAAAGGAGGGGGGAAGGGTGAGAGGGACAAAGGAGGGGGGAAGGGTGAGAGGGAAAAAGGAGGGAGGAGAGTGAGAAGGACAAAAGAAGGATGTAATGTGAGAACAAAGAGGGATGAAAGGTGAGGCAAACAAAAGAGGGGTAGAGGGTGAGAGGGATAAAGGAGGGATGGAGGTATGTCAGGGAGACAAAGGATGGATGGAGAGTAAGGGGGATAAAGGATGGATGGAGAGTAAGGGGAATGAAGGTGGGATGGAGGTAGGTCAGGGAGACAAAGGACGAATGGAGAGTAAGGGGGATATTAATTTGTCGCAAAAACATGGAGAAGGTAGTCATTTCTTTTGGAGAGACAATATTTCCCAGACACCCAGTCATGAAGACAGTGCGTAAGGTCAGGTAACCTTGTTGGTGTTATTGTCCTATAATCATCCACACTAGCTTCTATAGTAGTCTACTGACAGGTCATCATTGACCATCAGGTGACCACAAA